ATCAGTCGCTAACTCGCTTAGTCTTGTACCCAGTATCCTGTAATCAAAACAATAAGTAACAAGTATCAAAATGGCCTAATAAACCACAATTATTGACTGGCTAAATAAATTTGGTTATATTCATTTTTTATTTATCATTTTATGTAAAAGTGACCATAATCGACAGCAAGGATCAACTCCTTGAAGAGTTATCTACATTATTATTTTATTTTATTATTGTCATGAGAAACTAAATTAAATTAAGATCACTCAAATATATCGGTACGTAATCATTGAAGTATCACCACCACCAAGTACGTAAATATAATACTGTAATATCTCATGTTTCGTTATCTATAATCTGTATTATATATAATATAGAATATATATAATCTGTATTATATATATTATATATAATACAGATTAATATTCGTTAATCCAGCGATAAATCTTTTTAATAGAGGATAATTTAGCTTATATTTACTTGTTATTAGATAATTTTTTTTTTCGCAAAAAAGCACTTAACGCAGTTTGTGCTGAAGTTGGCCCCGGTTTGAAAGAATATTTCTGTTGAGGATGTCAGACTTGATCCATCATGAAATGAAGTTCTTCTGCTCCTGCTCTAATTGATAAAATTTTAGTCGTTTATTGTGAGCCGTAGATATAATTTATTTGACTGACTGGCCACTTATATAACCCACACAATCCGGTCTAATGAAACCGGTTTTTTTTTCATTGGTAAAATCATAAAAACTATCATATGATATCACTACGTTAGTTAAGATGCAAAATAAATTATTTAGCATTTGATATGTCACGTGCCGCCTACATTTGCAAAGTTTTTTTTTATATAAAATAAAGCGGATTTTGGTTAAATCTTTATACTTAATCGAAACAGTTGATAGTACTGCCTTTTTGGGTTATTATCGCCTATCTTAAAATCCTCTGGAGCCGATCTACGTAACATATTATCAATACTTCTGATTACGAGTAGGTAACCTAACTACTTTCTAATAAATGCTTAGGTAAAGGTGAAGGTATATAAATTCTCATTAGTTTCAAATACAACCAATTGACTTTATGATAGGTATTTTATATGAAGTCGCAACATAATATTATGTATATTTTATTCAGTTTTAAAAGCTGCTTATTTCAAGAAAATTCAATTTTTTTTCTTACGTTAGCTTGGAAAAGTATGGGTTAAAGAGGGACCCGTGTCCAAAACCAAGAACTTCGCCTGCGTTTTCTTGAGCTCGACATAGAATGCGTTTTTCATGCTTGTCGTACATTAAAAAAAAACCATTCTGTTTACATGGGGCGCTTCGCAAGTTCGGGGGCCACCTATACGTGTGTAGATATTGGTAGTAGATGTAGGTATTTTGAGCATAATAATTTTGAGCAAATTAACTGTTTTGTTCATATTATATCGGTTCTATTGATTAATAGTTATTCACTGTAGACTAACTGTAAACGTAAACATTAGAGACAGCGATCGATGGTAAAATATACAAATTGTAGATTGTACCATGGACCAAATAATAAGTATTTAGGACAGAATCGCAACACATCAAAAGTCCGTCCGTATATTCCAGTTTGTTTTACGGTTATAGTGCCAGGCTAGATTAGATCGTAAAAGATCTTTTAGTTGGTAATGACTAAAGCTTAAAATTCATATAGATAATTAGGTTTTTAATATGATTTAGTTAGGCAGCGCAAAAGTTAAAGGACATGTTATTTATTGGGCTTAAAAAAAATTGGTAGTATTATGTAGTTTTACTGATAGAGGAATGCTCTAGGATGGTCCTACGAAAAAAATAAATTAATATAACATGTCCTTTAGGGAACGGTTCGGTTTTCTATTACCAAGACCAAGGCATTTTCTGTCTTTGTGATTTTCCCAGTATTAATAATGACTAAACATTTTATAATAAAAATTGGAAACTTGCCGATCGTTTGTTAAAAAATAATGGGACAGGATGATGAAATTCGATCGTTACTGGTTTAACGGCTATGGATCCAGTTTAACTTGTCAACAAAGGTTAGTGACATCGATTAATAATCCTTCCTACTAGTATTAAAAACGTGACTTTAATAGGAAAATATGCAGATTTTTTAGTAACAGATTTTAAATCAAATCAAATAATTTTATGGTGGAACTGGAGAGTCAGTTTTTCAATGGTAAAATCACCGATATTGGGTAAAATATGTATATCTCTTTGTTTTCTCAATAATATAAGCGGTCATTAAAACCTTTGGCCAAATTGAAGAACAATTTCATATAAGTTTAATTTATAGGTATCTAAGTAAAGTGTTACAGGAATTTAATGTTGGTAAGTACACTTTTAGAATCCGTAGGTATATCTAGTGACAATATTTTTGTATCAATTTGTACTCAATCTACGAATAGGTACAAGAATATCGAAACAATATATTAAGTGTTTAATGATAAGAGAAGTTCGAGCTGAGTTGTTCTGCAATGCTATTCCGTAAAATTTTTAAGCGCGGATCCGATATAAATCCGATCGGATCCACATCGGATCCATGCTTGGAAACTGGACTGGCTGGTCGTACTGAGGTTACTACAAAGTAAAGAAAAATAATTCCTGGAAACGATAACAGGACAATAAGACACATTCATCTAAATAAGTCAATAGGTTTCACCTTTAGTCACTGTTTAGTTGACTTTAATCAATTTGTTTAAATTACTGTGGTAGGTAGTATCATAGTTTTACAAACTGCTGGCAACTGTACCCCAAACACGAACAACTAGCGACAAAGTATTCGTATAGCCATGTCAAAGTTTCCATGGGAAAAGCTTGATTGTTTTTACTCTTACTTACTTTATACTTAGGGGCGTTCTGTTTAGTTTTTATAGAGACTTTGACTATGCGTCGATACGAAAACGATGCGATACGAAATCGGTCAAAGTGTATACTTGGGGCACTGAATAAAAAGGTCCTACCAGTACTACTCAATAACTTTTTGTAAACGTCCTCAAATATTAAAATAATGGGGTCAATTTGTTGTTAACGGTCCCAGCAAATCAAACTTAATTGAAATAACCTTGGCATTGATTGGTGAGACTTGCGTGCTAATTAATTATTGTCAGTAATATAATAATGTTATTGTCTTTTTAAATTGGTCAGCTGTATGCATTTCTTAGTAGTATTATTATTATTTATTTCTCTTTACCTTAGATGTTAACATAGAATTATTGTTTGTTTTTGAACCGTAAAAAATTTACTTTTTCCTTGGTTTATTTAGATATAATTTATTTTAAAAGAATATCTTGTCCACACGATGGCGAAAATCAGCCAGTTAGGTAAACATGGAGCTTAAGTGTACCTACTATAGATAGGTATTATACAATTAGATGTCTATGTCTACATGTATGGAATCATCTATGCGAAGAAAAAGTTTTTGACAAAAAAATTAAACCACCGAAAAGCAATATATATATATATTTATATTAACTTTAGTCAAATTAATGTTTGTAGTCAGTGCCATGCATGTATGATAAATCTGAGTTCTCATTTACTATCTACTTGGGTTGGCCTATTTTTTGGTTTTCAACGGTTTAATTATTTTGTTAAAATCCTTTTATTTTATATTTTTTTTGTAGCTACAATGTACTTATTGATTCGTTTTCAAAGAGTTTAGTCTTTGGTTGTTATATAATCATTCTTTTACAAGACGGAACAATCAATTATCCCTGGGTTACAAGGGATGGTTTTAAAGGGTTTCCTTAGGTTTAGTATTTTTCAAATTTTAAGGGATCAATTAATATGGTTTTCTCATTAAAAAAGAATTATCGAAAAGTCATGCGTGATCAATGAACATACATAAAAAAAATAACCGTCAAAATGATAACCTCATTCATTGATAAGTTAGGCCTGAACTACAAAAGTGGTGTCGTTTCTGGCCTAAAAAATTTGACAACAGTGTATCTGGGTCATTCTCTATACAGAATGAAAAGGAAAGGCTGATGATAAATTTAGGTTTAAGTTTAGAGAATCATGCCAGAATCGACAACACTATATATTACAAACAAAATATTACAAAAAAATCACAGGATTTAAACATTGAACTGAAAACTGGTTTGTTGCTGAACGTGTACATTAAACATGTATTAAATATCGCAATTTGCTATGTAAAATTGCGATATTAAACATGCTTAAAGTAAGGTTTACTTATTTTAATTTATGTCATTGGCATTTTAAATCCTAATATTCAATCCTGTTTGAACAACAAATACTTTCAAAATTTGCTGCAATTGAGGAGGCCCAGATAAAGGTTGTTGAACATTTTCTTTGTAGAGCAAGTTCAGCTGGGTAGACTAAGAACACTTGTTCTGACCTATGTTACACCTCTGAAGTATACTAAGGGCACCGCTACAAATCTTATTATCCTCGGTTCACCTGACCGGGTGATCTATTGCTATATCGAAAATTGTTGTGATGTGACCCTGGTACACCTAACTCCTGAAAGGTGTACTGGTAGTACATCTTTAAATCTTATTATCCATGTTTCACTCAAACAAAATGTTGGTGTACGTGGTACAGTGAGCGTTAAAAAAGAATGATTCCTATTCTATATTACGCTGACTATAACTTGCCGAAAGGTGCTAAGTTAGCTCATGTCTGATTAGGTTGCGTTGAGTTTATGACTTTCGATGGCAGACTGTAGGATACCCTGCTGATGACAGCTGGTGCAGCAGTTTTATCTGCCACACCAGCCTTCATCTCCTTGCCGGCTTGCAAGTTGTTTTTTCACGCCATTTGTACGCCGAGTTTGATGGTGACGCCTACTCGAAAGGTTCCGGGTTCGAATCCCGGCGGGGGCAGATGTTTGTGTGATGAACACGAGCGTTTGTACTCCAGTCATTGGTGTTTAATATATATTTCTATTTATATATACTTATATATGTACAGTATATGTACTCTATCCATTACCCTAATATCCCGTAACACAAGCCTTACTTTGGGGCTAGGCTAATTTTAATTTATTATCATTTGTTCCAGCTCTACAGAAATACGCTATAGGACTATGGGTGTCTGGGTTCATCATTCTGCTTACCATATGTGTCCTATACGGGATAACTATGCGTTCAGTGTGGAGGCACTCCCGGAGCTCTGCGTCCTACACTGCAGTAGTGTTGTCAGTATATCCCGTAAGTATATAATCATAGATAAATGATTGGTCTCGCTACACTCCGAGACCAACCATTTATCTATGTATATAATATATTTTGATGCAGTCATAATATACTAAAGTTGTATAAAGTAATGTTGAAGTGATGTTAACATTAAAACAGGAAAAAATGGTCTTAACTGAGTTTCTTTTTGAAGTTTTGTAGCTTTTCGAACATTACACAGGAGCTTTTAAAATAATAGGTACTCGCGTACTTATCTCTGATACAAACACAGACAGGATAGTGACACTGACTGCATTCTTCCGTACAGTAGAGTTCCTTCAAGCTTGTTGCTTAATTTCGAGTAAGACCAAGTAAGACCCTGTACCATAGGCTATTTCTTTTTCGTATACTTAGGCTAATGTGGTACGGGAGACTCTGTATTCTTTTGTTTAAAATTGAAACTCTCATTGATTACTGCAGGCAAGGCACCTTATAAAACGATAGAGCAGGCAGGGGTCATTGTTGTGTAAGCCGCATGCGCTCGTTTCGCAACGCGGCGAAGTCGGCGCAGTCGCCGTGCCTGCTACTATAAACTGATTGCTCTTTGAGGCCCGGTGTTGCGTCTTAATGTTTTGCAACGTTTTTCGGTATGGCTACGTTCGAATCGAGCAGGAAATCACACGAACGAGTAATCCATCCACCTTGTGCGTTATACCTTCGCTTGTGCATTCTATAGACAGTATTATGTGCAATAAAGTTAAGACCTACTTTCGTACACATTTACAATCATATTAAGATATCTGTAGAAAAAGTTTTTCTTTCTATGTTAATTGTGAAATCATCAATATCGCATTTGTTTCAAAAGAAAATTATGGAAATGCATATAAAAATTAAATGAACGCTAATTAATACACTTATAAAGATCCGATTCTTTATAAGAAACAACGATTCAGTTGAGGATGTACTAGGTACCATTAATTGATTAGAAAGAAGAATTAAGACTCTTGTTGAACTATTGGTTAACATCAACATTTCGGCCGGATTATAAACTCTATAATCTCCTAGATCAGTAAAAAAAAATATTTTACACTAAAGTTAACATTAATCCGTCGTAACATCATCTGAGAGCCAAGTGCACGCTCCCTATGGATATTTATAATTTGCTATAGTTTAGTTGATCAATTTACTTAATTTTATCTAACGCGGGTCTCATGAAAAATGGGTATGAGCAAAAATGTGTTCTTTATTATCCTATTAAGTCCCCAGTTCTCACGGGCTTATTAACTACTTCTTATAGTAATATGGCAGTTTGTATGTTTGTAAAAGTAGTTTTTAAAAGAATTCAAAAACTAAAAGACGTATAATCATATCGCTAATAAAATCGTGCAAAATAGGCGTGAAGTAACCGTACAAGGAGCTTCGAGTTTTTTTATTTGATGTAATTATTCTGATAATTAAGGGTTTTATTTTAGAGTATATTAATGAGCCAATCATTTTCATATATAAACTTTATTCTCGGTCCTTACATTTTGCTAAATCGTGTGCCTTTTCCGCCATTCCTCCAGAAATTTAAATGTAGTAGGTAACGTGTAACAGAGGCGTATAAAATATGGCTTCATTTAATAATTTACAGTTTCCTATTCCATATTTTTATTAAAAAACTTACGTACTTAAAAATAAAGTTTAAATAAAAAATTTAAAGGCAAATACAAGTTCAGTAGTCTAGAGTTCTGTTGAGTAAGGAACAAAGCTACTTTAACAATCGGGACCAACAATATTAAATGCAATATTGTTGGTCGGGACCTACTGGAAAAAAAATATCCATTCTAGAGTATCTAATGGGTTAGGTTAGGAAAACATAATACATATTCTTTTGTTATTGTTGCGAATGACCCAATTAATGTAATCGGTAAATTATCTTTGTATTTTCATATGAGAAAATGGGGTGTACGTCGCAGACTTTCATTACATGTTTTGATACGACGTATCACCGTAATTAACGATGAAAATGGTTGATGTCACAATAGTCTTACGTTATTATATTTGTTTACACCTACTTTCTACAAAAATATAAGCGAAACCACATCTATTTATTAAAAGAGGTGTTAAAAGAAGCAACTTCCAGTTCGCAAGCAAGGTGAGGTGTGCGAAGTAAAACTGTTGCACCAGCTTCATTCGCATCTGTGTTTTCATTTTGCGGGACATTTGCTTGGATCTGAAACGAAATAAAAGAGTATAAAACCATAGGTACCAGTGCCGTCTTTGACCTATTGGAGGCCCTGGGCATATTAGGATAATGGGGCCCCTATGACTTTCGTTTGGTGATTTAACAGGAACTAGGGACTTTGTATTTGATCTAAGGGTATAGGGGGCCCCCCTATCGATCGCGGGGCCCTCGGCACTTACCCAAAGTGCCCACTGCGAAAGACGGATCTGATAGGTACTGTAACGTCCGGTACGTTACTACCTCCTTGTTTTGGTAAACTCTTTGCTTTTGCAATGCCTACGGTTGGCAGTTATATTAAAAAGTTAATGTCATGATTTTAAGATTTGAAATAAGGAATCGTCTGTCTTTTGATAGAAGGTTCCATTCAAGAGTAGATCTTCAGGCACCAAGAAAACCTCTCGTATTTAGATAAAATTCTTTATATTCGCCTGAATGAAATAAATATCTTATCTCTACCAGTATCTTTTGATTAATAATAACGTCCCCAGGTTCTATCCATTCTGGGTAGAACTCCATAGTACCTATACTTTTCTTTAGTTTTCGGCTAGATCAAAGTTCTTTTTGTTAGGAGCGTTAACTAATCTGAAAAAGAAGGACTAGGACAATAATTCTTGCATTTTGTTAAGAAATATATAAGCTTTACAGCGATTACTTACAATATTATCACTATCAACGTTATGGACATTCAAGTTTTGCTTTTACTTCATATTTTTTTTGTCACAATTGTACTTTCGTACTGATCCTGCATTTCAAAAGAAAAACAGCAATAAAAGTTTCCATTGTTTAATTTTAATGTTGCCCTCAATTTATGGCTCATTTAAATAGCTTTACGCGTCAAAAGATAATAATTTAATAAGTATTACCTTGTAATTGCATTTTTTCTTTTCAATTTAATAGCCTCGTCTAATTGTACTTGACCGCGTCAATTAGTATGCTTTAAAGACCTAAGCAGCTTACGAAACAATGGACTCCAGCCTCTTAGCACGTAGCTTAGTTAACAACATTGTACCTTTTGTACCTATCATTGTTAGTTTAGTTCATATTTTCAGTTAATTAATCAGATTTATACCAATTTTTATTAAATATACTGATATTTTGATGAGTGAGTCTTTTGAAGTAGAATAATTTTAGATGTTTTTTGGGATGATTTTTACCAAGGTACAGAATTGGGAAAAAATAGAATGTCTCCTTTGTCATTTTAAAACTATTCTTTTAAATATTAAGTATTAGCCTATTCCAGTGAAATTTAATGTATGCGTACATACATAGTTTATTTCTTATTTCCACGATAACTGCAGTTATATGCTTTTATCGGCTAAATTGTACCATTTATAAAAAAACGGCAATTCAGTTTGAAAAAAAATCAAACAATACAAATATTTTTTCTATTATTATATAATAAAAAATAATCCCTATTTCCATTGGTCATTAGCCTTTACTCGAAAACGACTTTACCAATGTTATCTTTAAATTTTCAAATACTTTGTAAATAAAGAAATATTGTGCATAAATATTAGAAAATATAAGTAAACATAATACTCTATCCGATAATGGCCTGCAGGACAGTAAAGGTTTTTAGGTTGTTTTGTTATTGTTCATCGGACAGTAAGTAGACAACTATAGATACTGTAAACATATAAAATACTTCTAGTAGTTAATTTTTATGAGAATACCACACGAAACTAACATTTTCAGGGATAAAACTGTTAATAGTAACCAGGTAAGAAACTTTATTTATGCCAAATTTCATCTAAATCTGTTCAGTATCACTGATGTTCTTTATCTAGGATTATATAACGATAAATTGATAAAAATTGTGTTTCAATTAATAAAATTAACTTTTACGCAGATTATCTTTCGTAACATTACTGACCGTAAATTAAATAACAATAACAAAGTTATGTATTAAAAATACCACTACGTATCTACCTGTGTTTCTTTCTTCGTCTAAGTCGTTCCATTCCGTTCCCTTACTTTTTCTGTTGATAATTGTTTGTATAGATTATTTCTATTTTAACTATTATATAATTTTACAAGGAAATATGCCATTCAGTAACAGAACACAATTGTCTATGCTTTAACAAGAAATTTTTCTCACAATGGTGTTTGTTCCTATGGTTTATGCGGAGGGGACGGATTTACCTGCTTTTGTTATGGTAACAGTCACAGGCGGTAGGAATATTCACTTTCACAATTATGTTACGATTATGTGTGGTACTGTGCATTGTATTTCCACTTTTATGATAGACAAAGTTTGGGTGAATTGTTTTGTTTTTGCTTTGCTAACCGACTCCGTGTTGGTAATTTGATGTTCTAGAATTATTATTGTAAATAGATAGCACCTATGCATTGTTTACTTTTCTTTATAAGAAGCTAGTACAATCATAATGAATGGCTAGTTTGATTTGATAACAATACTATTTTATACACTCGACATCAATTAAATCGGGTCACCCGCTAGTACCTTGGAGCACAGAATATAAATCTATACTGTGCTTTGCTTTTTATTACTGGAGCTTTATTTAGATTTTTAAGAAAAGTATATAACTGACAACTTATCAAAGCCATCTGAAAGTGCATAAGTGACAAAAAAATATTTTAAAGTAATGTCAACTTACTTTGTAATCAAGCAAGAAACACAATGCTTAAGATTTGCTATTTTTTGAATAGTCTTGCGATGCGATAATCGTTATTTTTAATAAAATGAGGATAATCTGCTATTTCTTATAATTCCTTTAGTTCTTGTCTATCGTTTTCTCAGAGGTGTGTATTTTGCTACGTTTTTTACTACCGATTAACAGAACTAGAAAACGACCCTTCCTATAGAAACTTCTTAATAAAAACAAAGTAAATTGATTAATCTGAATCAATTCCAGTTTATTTTGCTCACTATAAAACGAAATTTCGTATATTCTGAGATAAACTAATCGGAAGTCCGAGGTAGCAAGTGACCCGGTTGTGTCCATGTGTTATCCAGTGTATTAGTAAATGTGTACAAGTTATATATCAGTTAAAATGTCATTATGGCTGGCTTTCTCTATTTTTAGTTTATAGAGATGTATGTCTGTTAAAAAGAATCTCAAGTCTACGTTCTTTGCCAACCACACGTCTTTAATTAAACTGACTTTTTTAGTTTATGTCAAAATGCTTAATTCTATAAATATTGTGTACTGACGAATGTTTGTGTATGTTCCATTAAACTTTTAAAATCATTAGGTTCTTTTGTTAATGTGCCATGTGTGTGTCAAACGCATATATGTATAAGTACCTTTTATTTGTAATGATCATTTTATTGAATTAATATATTTCTAATGCATAATTATATTCATATATCAAAATATTAGATGTTTTCAGTATTTCTCATAATAAATTTTTAATTGCGCAAAATCTCAATCTATTAGCTAAATGATCTTAGAAAGGATTACAACAGTTTTACTTTCAAGTAGGTGTTATTATAGCTACCTAATAATGATGCAAACAACATGTCATATTTTCCTAGTCAATGGGTGTTCCAAACAGAATATATTCAAATCAAAGCTTATCACCGCATAAAAACGTTCAACACGAGTTTAAGAAAGAATGTCATATAAAATTTGCCTAAACAAGGTTTGAAGAAACCGTGATTAACTTTTTGTTTCATTTTGCACATAGCATATTTTTAATGGTACATATGTAAAATATTAAACTATTATGTTATGCGCCGATATCCGATTTAAAAGCATTCTTTCTAAAAAACTGAAAATATTATAAATTATTATTAAATATGCAGTATCAGTTGGGAAAACTTGCCACTCCGCAAATAGGTGAGCATGAAAATTGGTGTCATTTTCATAATCATAAAGTGTTCTTATTATATCGGAACACGCAATATTGATTAAAGAGGCAAATTCAGGCAATATTTCTAAGAGGAAATATTTCTTTACGTCCTTATGGAGGAAATTATCAAACTGTTTTGCTTACAAGAAATATGATGCTATTTTAACTGTTTACATACATAAACTTATGTTAATAAATCATTTCAGTATATAAAATAAAGTCCCTCCCGATGTCTGTACTCTTACATTTAAAATTATCCACGGATTTTAATGCACTTTTTAGCAATAGTCATTCAAGAAGAGTTAACTTTACATTACTATAGTTTAATCTAGGCTATGGTTCGATGCGGCGAAAAATATAGTGTGTTCTTTTCGGTTGCAGGTGGTAGCGTTGTCGGCGTACATAGCGACAATAGTGCCTCGCGCTATGCTGGTGTGCGAGGCGGTAGCTCAGCAGGTGGTCGTGGTGGCGCTGTACAATTTCTTCTGCATGATCATCGCAGAAGGCGGCGGCGTCGACAGACTTGTCTCGTAAGCGCGTCTATTATGATATGATAGTGACTTGCGCAATGGCGGTAGCGTCGACAGACTTGTCCCGTAAGCGTGTCTATTATGATATGATAATGCCTCGTGCAACGGCGGTGGCGTGCACAGACTTTTCTCGTAACCGAATCTACCTTTTCTGCAGCGCATCAGTAATGTTTGCTGATGCACAGGTGGACTGTTTCTTTACCGATGACCGACTGTTCCATTCTCACACTATGCTATGATAGTGCCTCGCGCTATGACGGCGGCGTCGACAGACTTGTCTCGTAAGCGTGTCTATTATTATATGATACTGCCTCGTGCTATGGCGGTGGCGTCGGCAGACTTGTTGTTGGCTTACATAGCGTAGATAGTGCCTCGCGCTATGCTGGTGTGCGAGGCGGTAGCTCTGCAGGTGGTCTTGGTGGCGCTGTACAACTTCTTCTGCATGATCATCGCAGAAGGCGGCGGCGTCGACAGACTTGTCTCGTAAGCGCGTCTATTATGATATGATAATGCCTCGCGCTATGGCGGCGGCGTCAACAGACTTGTCTCGTAAGCGTATCTTTTATGATATGATAGTACCTCGCGCTATGGCGGCGGCGTCAACAGACTTGTCTCGTAAACGTATCTATTATGATAAGATAGTGCACCCACGCGATGGACTGACCAGATCAAGTCAGCCGTTGGAGGTTCACTAAACGAGTGCAGCAGGATGACCTCTAGCAGGCAGCAATGGCGAATTGTTGCATGGTTCATGTACTGTCTAAAAGTAAATATTGACATGTTTTAATTGCTGAATTTATTTAAATATTATTAATGTGAAAATATTGACTGTTATATTTATTTATTTATTTTTGATGATGATTATTTGTATATTAATTTAATGTTAATTGATTGTTTGATTTTTAATGGTTGATATGGGCTGCTGTTGTCCGTAATATATAATTTTTAGTTTTATTTATTATGAATTAGTTAGCTCGTTTTTCTAGTGCCCTCGTCGTGCCTTCTCATCATTACAAGTCTATTAATGTTCGTATATTTCCTTTTTTCTTAATGTCTCAACTGCTGGGGCACAGGCCTTCCCTATGGATAGATAGGAAAGTTAGGTAATGACCCACCCACACCCACGGAATAGCACCCACCACTGGGCCCGCGTGATTGGTACCACAGCAGTGGGAACGTTAATAGGACGATGATATAAGTCTCATTTTAATGACTTAGTTTTCTTAGACCCGTATTATAGAAAGATTCTCAGTGATTGATCTAGTCTTGAGCATAGTTAGAAAGGGATGTCGCTATATATAGCACATAGCGACATCCCTTTCTAATTGTACTCAAGTAAAGATCAACACTTAGTTGTCATTCTGTAGTACGGACCTAAATGTCTTTTATTCTACTTAAAGTTACGTGATTATTCGTTACTTCGTAAATTTTCGCGATTACTGTGTCTTACTTATTTCTGATTTTATTACGATGAGATCAAATGATATCCGTATTCCATGCGCCTCGAACGACTATATTCAATATTCACTTGCAACGTAAGAGATAATTTATTAAACATGACCTCGATTTGAATACGTGGTGAGAACATTGATCTACTTACCAAATTATAATGTTTATTTCGTATCTTGATGTTAAGAAACTCGTTTAGCAACTTTTTCATCTTTTGTAAAAATAAGCATTTTTAACATTTCTATAATATACTAGCTGACCCAGCGAACTTCGTACCGCCCTAAAAAAATAGGGGTTGTCCAGCGGACAAAATTGTGAATATAAACCATTCTCAGATCCCCTTGAACACACACAAAAAAGTTCATCAAAATCGGTCCAGTCGTTTAAGAGAAGTTCAGTGACATACACACTCACAGAAGAATTATATATATAAAGATTTTATATGATTTTGATTCGTAAAAAGTATTTGCCTATATTTAAATCATAAGAAGTTGTTATGTTTTGAAAATTATAGTCTGCTTACTTAACATGCCTGATTTATGATATTCATTTCTTAACTTTTTACCATGTTTTAAAACAATCACGATTTGATTTCGTAACTTTCAGACGGACCCCTGATTGCCATCTGGAGACGAGAGTTCTGCCATGTTGTTGTTGGCCCTGCTGCGTCATTCCAAGACCACGGCTGCAAACGTAAGTGCCTTAATCTTAGTATTTCAAACCATGGCCAATAGGGTTGTCCGACAGATATCAAACTATTCAAACTATTATCAGAGAGAGAGAGAGAAAACCATTTATGGTGAACTAGCTGTGCCCCGCGGTGTTACCCGCGGTTTATTAGGGATATTTTGCCGCAGTTAAACGTAGCCTATGTGTTCATCCAGTGTGTCAGCTAACTCCATATAGCTCCAAAATCGCTCCTGCCGTTTAGACGTGAAGAAGTAACAAACATACACACTGACACACAAACTTTCGCCTTTATAATATTAGTGTTACAAACAAACTTACTTGTACATTATGTGAAGTTTTATCACAATTAAAGAGAGAATCGTCGAAATATAGTATTATTGTTATGCGGTGATAAAAAAAGAGATATATTAAAGGGTGAATAGGGTATATGACAAATTTTAAAAAACGATCTCACGTTGTTGACTAATGTTTATGGAGTCCGTAAAAAGTGGATATTCATCATTCTGTTGTGTATTTCAGTAAATATAACCAAACCATAAACTCCATTTTCAAGTTGCCGCCAAAACGTTTTTCTGGACAATATGGCGTCTTACTAGTGTGTGAAGTCACACGACTGTTATTAAAACGCCAATAGATACAATGTAATGTCACTATAACCGGAAATATACTTGCGTGTGATTTTAAGCTCCGCCAATCCCAAGCTTTTTGGGTCACGTGACAATAGATAAGAAAACTATTATCTTTTTCGTAGGTTTTTAGTAAAATTAGGAATATTTTTTTTGTAAAAATAGTAAAAACCCCTGCCAATATTCATTCTAAACAGAGATGCTAACAATTGGCACTTTATTTTTAATACTGTCAAATAACCTATTATGCAGATATCGAGGACGAATTCTGAAATACGAGTATAATCACGCATTGAGTAACGTGCTAAAACATCAACACAAGAATTTGTAGCGTGGCTGAACATTAATGCCACATTACTAGCTTGCTACATATATAGTGATCTGTGCTCATTACAATAGAAAACGTGGGACTGATCACTTCGCAGTTGCATGTACCACAAACATTTAGCCTCTATTATTTTCGGGATCGTAGGCATTTAACTGAAAAATTTCAGAAAATTCTTCGATTTAGAATTTTTAAATCGCGTTTATTATTCTTAATTTATTATTTTGTAAATGGGAATTATTATAATGGATAACCAATAGTAGACAAAATATACAACTATAAATGACATGGAGAACTTCTGTATGGAAGGCGGCATAGTTATCACACTAATCACACTAATATTATAAAGGCGAAAGTTTGTGAGTATGTGAGTGTGTATGTTTGTTACTTCTTCACGTCTAAACGGCTGGAGCGATTTTAATGAAATTTGGTATGGAGTTAGCTGAGACCCTAGAATAACACATAGGCTACTTTTATCCCGAAAAAATGTTATGTTCCAGAGGGATTTTCAAGAAACTAAGTTAACGCAGACGAAGTCGCGGGCGACCTCTAGTTGATTATAATTTACATAGATAGTTTTTGGTGTTTTAATTTAGTGACCAACCCAAATCAGATATAAGTTGTTGTGTGAGTGCGAGGCGCCCGTAAACGGCACACAGTAAATAATGAGGAAAATCTTAAACATTGTAACAGTTGCATTTCTATCTCTCATTTAGTTGCGTGCCCGACAGGGTCCATAATGATCGTATTTTGTCATATTTAACATCTTTTTGTACATTGTGGATATGCAATAAACGAATTGAATTGAATTGCATTTAAAGAAAGAGGTTTTTCGCGGTTAAAAGTTATTATTTGTGAGTGATTCTGTGAAATATAATAAACATTTTATTACCTTAGTTTATCATCTTTAATAATTTCCTATAAACAAAATTAAAATCCCATTCCTGATTCGATCTGTGTGTGAGGATGGCAAACCTTCTGCTGCATCATCTATCTTCGCGGCTGGACTCCACTTACAGTTAACATCAGACATAGCTTTTAGCAGATAGATCGTATAAAAAAAATAGTATCATTTAAATAATTACGTAATCTAAAGATAATTTTACTAGAAAAAATTCCACGCGGCCAAGCAATAGACGAAGACGGGCTCAAGCACTGACTGCCCGCCGCCGCCGCGGTAGCTAAATTGGTCAGTGCATCCGCCTCTATAGCAGGGGGTGCGGGATCGAGGCCCGTCTGCTGGCTGGCCGCGTGGACTTTTTCTAGTAAAGTTTTACTTTAGATATAAGCGTGTAGCAGATAAATGTTTTTTTTTATTTAACTATTACTATATATACTGTTATAAATTATAATAACACAAATATAGTGTTATTGTTGGTTAGACTTTATTATCTTTGCATCTGTAACTCTTTCTTTAAGATTATATATTATACGCTAAACTAATGAATGATGACAATAAAATATTATTAATAAAAAATTAAATAAATATAAAAATATTCTTTCGCTGTGCTATTATTATCAGTGAAATAGGAATTGCTGTTATAAAAATTTGTTTGCTAGCTGTACTTAGCTCAGGATCAAAATAGATCGTCAATGAATTACTTAATCTTAATCTTTACTTACACACCTTCTTTATTTTTTTGCAGACGAAACCTACTGCGTATACGGTACTTGGTACTGCAGATGCCTTTCATTCAAGCCATCATATACATATCTGTGCTGATAATATGGGCTGAGGATATGGTCAGTAAAACAAACTCTATGCTTGTATAATTCTTTAAAATAATTAAAATTTAATTTCTACATTTATTGATTTCTTGATCTAATATTTATTTGTTTTTTCTAAAACGTTCCTTTTTTATTTATTTATTTATTCACAAAACCAACAGCGTAACAAAAATATTTTTTCTTATACTTTCTAATAACAAGGCTAATAATAATAATAGGTTTTCTATGAAATTTTCAATTGTACTAGGTTGTGGGAAGATATGATCTATTGCATATTAGCTAATATTTATAATTTTTTTGTGTGTACATTGTCTTTCATCACCAGCTGCTCCCGGCGACCCGAGTCTTTGTTAATAGAAGGAATGTTATATAATTTTGCCATAATAGCATACCGAACGTATTAACTGTAAAACTCGTTGTTAAAATGTATGTTTTGATATCCCGAAAGTTCAAGTTCGTTAAATTTTGTGTTATATGTTATGAGTAACATATTTTCTATTTCTTTCCAGAATCTGTACATACGCAGCTTCCCGTATTTCCAGCCGTTTGTGGCGGCTTCCATACTTACTGGTCTTTGGGGCGTGATGATGTGCGTCCGCGCAGCCGAAGCGGGCGGCGCGCGACCTCGGCCCCGTCTGTTAGCGCTGCAGCTGGTGTTGTTCATAGTGAAGCTGCAGTACGGCGCGGTTAGAGCCCTGCCCACCATGGTTCGCATGCCGTGCGTTATGGCACTGCATCCGGCCGTGTTTGTCAACCGTGAGTCATCGTCAATGTTCATAGTGAAGCTGCAGTACGGCGCGGTTAGAGCCCTGTCCACCATAGTCCGCATGCCGTGCGCATGGCGTTGCATCCGGCTGTGTTCGACAACCGTGAGTCATCGTCAATATTCATAGTGAAGCTGCAGTACGGCGCGGTTAGAGCCCTGCCCACCATGGTTCGCATGCCGTGCGTTATGGCACTGCATCCGGCCGTGTTTGTCAACCGTGAGTCATCGTCAATGTTCATAGTGAAGCTGCAGTACGGCGCGGTTAGAGCCCTGTCCACCATAGTCCGCATGCCGTGCGCATGGCGTTGCATCCGGCTGTGTTCGACAACCGTGAGTCATCGTCAATATTCATAGTGAAGCTGCAGTACGGCGCGGTTAGAGCCCTGCCCACCATGGTTCGCATGCCGTGCGTTATGGCACTGCATCCGGCCGTGTTTGTCAACCGTGAGTCATCGTCAATGTTCATAGTGAAGCTGCAGTACGGCGCGGTTAGAGCCCTGTCCACCATAGTCCGCATGCCGTGCGCATGGCGTTGCATCCGGCTGTGTTCGACAACCGTGAGTCATCGTCAATATTCATAGTGAAGCTGCAGTACGGCGCGGTTAGAGCCCTGCCCACCATGGTTCGCATGCCGTGCGTTATGGCACTGCATCCGGCCGTGTTTGTCAACCGTGAGTCATCGTCAATGTTCATAGTGAAGCTGCAGTACGGCGCGGTTAGAGCCCTGTCCACCATAGTCCGCATGCCGTGCGCATGGCGTTGCATCCGGCTGTGTTCGACAACCGTGAGTCATCGTCAATATTCATAGTGAAGCTGCAGTACGGCGCGGTTAGAGCCCTGCCCACCATGGTTCGCATGCCGTGCGTTATGGCACTGCATCCGGCCGTGTTTGTCAACCGTGAGTCATCGTCAATGTTCATAGTGAAGCTGCAGTACGGCGCGGTTAGAGCCCTGTCCACCATAGTCCGCATGCCGTGCGTCATGGCGCTGCATCCGGCCGTGTTCGTCAACCGTGAGTCATGTCAATGTTCTTGGGATGCTGCGGTACGGGGCGCGGTTCGAGCCGATCGATCATCGATCTTGCATGGGTGCGAAAACGGCTAACGGCTTTCTGACCACACCTGTCCGCAGTATGCACCATGTAATTTCGCGTATTGTGAAATGTGAAATTACATGGTTCATAAAATGGTAGGTATTGATCCTGTCCCAAATTCCGTGCGAAATATATGAGCGCCATAGCGCTGCAACCAGCTGTTAAACCTTATGTAGGTACGCCATATATACTTTATAAACTTTTTGTTTTGATGATATCTCAATACTTCCGAAATAAAGATGTTTCAAACGATACGAGGGAAAGTTAATTGTTGCAAGTACTTTTTAAGAAAACGGTACAGCTACTTCCTGTAAATAACGACTTTGTGTTTCATTATCTTAAAATAGTTTTAAATTGTGTATTTATAATTAGTCTTGGAGGTGACAGGTTAATAAAATTAAAGAAACATGTAAAGTCATCTGCGCATTTAGTCCGAAATTCATGCAAACAAGTCACGGTCAGAATCTAATTTTAGAATTTAATTTTTTTGGCAAATACGAGTTTGTTCATTGATCTTAAATGAATGTTTAAAAAGGCAAGGTCTTAAATTTAAAGACCTCTTCAAGTTTCAACCACTGAAGTGATTAAGATGAAATTTGGTATAGTTGAGCTCCGGGAAAGGACTTAAAATTATTACCCACCCACTAGTAATATTATATGTTTAAGTAGGACTGTCTGTCTGTTACCTCTTCGCGCTTAAACCGCTTAACCGATTTAGTTGAAACTTAGTATAGAAACAGTTTGAGTCCCAGTAAAGGACATAGAATAGTTTTTACCCTAGAAATCACTTTTAAATACTCGTAGGGTGAAAAGTAAACAATGGAATGGCGCAGGTTTTTATTTTTCCACATTGACAAAGTCGCGGGCAATCACTAGCCCACTAGTAGTTATAATATATAATGTTATAAAAAAATATCAACTTTCAGTGTTGCAGAACAGCACCACATTAGTGGAGATGCTTCTGCTATCAGTTCTGGCATGGCGATTGTACAGTGCACCATCTACGAAGGCAGTTGATAAAGTCCATCACGCTGTCATAGCTACAGTTGAAGACAATAGTTTGGACTTTAAACCGTTGGGAATCGATACGAAATCATAAAATTTTTACGCTGTTATAGCTAAGGTTGAAGACAATAGTTTGAACTTCAAACAATTGGGAATTAATGCGAATTCATACAAAAATCACGCTGTCATAGCTAATGTTGAAGACAAGTCTGGACTCCAAAATATTGAGAATCGATTCGTTGAATCAAAAAGAAATTAAGAGTGATAAATATGTAAAGTGTTTTAGGCTAGTCGTTTCGTATTAACCTGATATTGTGTATATATGGTTAAATGTTGAGCAAGCAAAGAAATTTGTGGTTTATCTAATAGTTCATAGCTTTAAGAGTTATTTCTAATTTTCAAGATTGAGCTGAAACGTTTACCAAGTTAACAACTTTTTGAATGGATTTCCCGATTCGGAATAAAATATTCATAGCTTATTTGGAATGTTATAGTACAGTTAAATCTTTATAATAATTCGTTTTATAAAAAGTTATTCAATAAAGTATCAATCTATTTAGTACTTTTGGAAATTACTATTATTTAAGTCTAGTCTTAACTCTTAAACATGCTTATAAATAAACTCTACTGTTGGTGCTCGATTTAGTATAGTTTTAGACTGGTGTGAGATCAGTAGCACCTATGTTTAAGTCTGATTTGTTATGTGGAAAATGAATGTTAATCTTTAGTTTCACACTAACGGCTGCACTCAGCGCAGTCAATAAACTTTTAAAGTTGTCTAAAATAGATGCTGTTACTATCTTCGCGATAACAATAGAAAAAGATAACACGTTACTTAATGAAGCACTATAATTTTTTGACGTTTCTGTGTACGGCTAAAAGAAGTATTAGGTAATTGATGAAATGCAAGAACTGCTGACAGCTATGATATTAAAATAGTTAAATGTAAAAAAATATCAAATTTTTATGCAAAGGAGACCTGTCATATTGGTACGGAGATTGGTCCAAGAACCAATACCGAAACCGTTGTGGTATTCATTAGGAATACCTAGTGCCTCAACTATACTTAGATAGGAACGGGTATCAAAATTTTACCCGGTAGTTTCGAGAAAAATTACTTTTTACACATGTTTTACTGCAGTCTACTTTCTATTAAAGGGATAAAAACAAATATTTTTCTTAAATGGATTTATAAATGTATTCTTTGATTTTTACTATAAAAAAATGGATATGTACTTTATTGTAAACCATGACGTATAATGCGATTCAAATAAGAATAGGAAAGCCAATGACCTCCATCTGCCAAATGTCGCTTGAAAAGTACGGCTTGCAAAAAAATCTTGGAACCCTTTTTTAGCACTCGGCTAATTATGGAATAAAAACCAAACATTTGTAAACAAACAATAACAAATATTGTTAATTAATGTTGGTTGATATTTTATTTTCATTTATTGAGCTTTGGCTATGAATGTTTGATTATCTAAATCGTCAACCAAATGTCACTTTAAGTTGCGTTCAGAAACTCGATTTAAAACTTCGTTTTACATATAGGATGCATGTTCGAATGTGACCTAGTAATAGTGCATGATTATTCATAACAACTCCGGCGGTAATGCAGAGATGAGCGGAATTGAAGAGCTTAATTCTGATTAATGTTTTTTCTCGCAGTCTTAACAAATAAATATTATTAAAAATCGGTTATTTTCTTTACTCAATTTTAGTAAATATTTTTTATTAAAAATCGGATGTTTTTTCTCACTTAATCTTAGTAAATAACGTTTATTAAATAAAAACTTTTTGGCTCACTCTACCTTTTTCGTTTGAATTGACAGCTATGGCGTCACAATATGGCGCCCCGACGATCCTATTCTTAGTTGAATCGCATTATATGGACATTATGTAGCTAACGATCTTGATGTACCTGACTTTGTTATTATGTAAAATAAAACAATGAATGAATTGAGATATTTTTTATTATTGTTATTGGCAAAGTGCCAATACCTTTTGAGATAGTCAAAAATATAAGTACTTTACATTTGGTCTTCCTAAAATTTCTTTAAATTAAGGTTTCGCAAGGTCATTCGCATGCGCGTAGAAAAGGAACTAATTAACCTAGTTAGAAGCTATTTCTTGTTATAATCTTCCATCTTCGTTATTATAAGTTTAATGACCTTACGGTCTTACACAGTAATAAAACAGAAAAAAGTCTAAGATGAGAGATACTGGCACTTTACTGTAGATACAAAATGCACTTATATTACCACTATAAGTTCGATTACAGACATTTAGACATAAACCAAACACAAATTCATAATTTTAGATTCTTGCCGAAAATTTTTAATTATCGTTTTATTATTCAATCGAAGATTCTTCGTCATCATTTTTGTCTTCACTGTCGTCGGATGGGGTGCCAGCTCTTGAATTTTCAGAACCATAAATATTATGAAGCTCTTCCAATTTGTAATGGATTTTCACTCCTTTCGATGTTGTTTTATTAACCTTTTTTACTAATGATTTAGTTTGCTCTTCTAACCGTTTTAAACGCAAGTCTCTAGCAGCAAACCTTGCCTCATGATCAATGTCACTCGATGTTGAGGGTTCTGTTTCATCTCTACTCAAACTATCTTTCGAATCTTCATCTTCTGATTTGTATTCAGAATTTGTATTGTCATTATGCGGCATAGTTAATTTTTTATTCAGATTTTCACCTGTTTGGACGGTATTACTCGAACTATCTTTCGAATCTTCATCTTCTGATTTGTATTCAGAATTTGTATTAGCATTATGCAACGTAGTTAATTTTTGATTTAGATTTTCACCTGTTTGAAGGGTATTCTTTAAACAATTCAATACTTCAGAACAACCAGTTTCTAATTTTTGAAACCGTTCATCTTTCTTACCGAGTCTTTCGTCTTGTTTTTTAATACTTTCTAAAATAGCCGTGAAATCTTGAACATTATAATCTTTACCTGTTGTAGGGGAATCCGATCGTTCATCAGGAGATTCACATGTTTTGTTAGTTACATCAGTAGTTATGTCCGATTCCCTTGTCGTACTTATCTCACTGTTTTCGTATATTTCGTCAACAGTAACTGCATCACTTTTGCATTTTATTTCGATACACTCATTAGATATATCAGATTCAGTAAAATTTGTATCAGTTACGTTTGTATTTTCTCTACTCGTTGTAGGATGATTCAAAATATGGTCCAAAGTTTCATCAATTTCCTGGCTTAATTTGACAGTATGGTTAAGTTTGTGTAACAAAGTTGAACTGTTTTTCTCCAATTTATCAAGTTTTTCGTCTTTTTTTGACAGTCTTTCATTTTGCAGTCTTACATTTTTCAAAATTTCTTGAGGATCAATCAAGTTATTAGATGTTGAAGATGATATTTGTGATGCTGTATTACTTGGGTCTGAATTTTCATCATTTGATAATACAGAACTAATTGCTGTATTATTGACTATGTTTGTTTCTTCGATTAAGTGATCACCATTAATATCACAAATTTCGTCTTCGGTTTCTTCACAAACTAAGTCATTTCTTGAGTTATTTTCACTATGACTATCGTCATGCGTATCTAAGGGTAAATCTGCAACATCTATCATATCACTAGCAGGATCTTCTCTTTCTGCTACCAAATTGAAATCAGCACTTGAGTCTACGATAGTTTCAAAAGACTTTTTTAATTTTTTCTTGCATCTAATCGGTGATTCAGTGACATACTCACTCTCATCATTTGATTCGGAAGACTCATCTGAAGCTCTCTCGTCGCTGTAACCACTTTCAGCTGAATTATTAAATGACGGAGATCCTAACTTGGCTTTTCGACTTGTAAATTCAGCTCTTAATGTTTTCCAGTCCCTTTCAGATTGAGAGTTCTTTTCTCTGGCTTGTTCCCATTTTTCTCTGCAATACTCTAATTCTTCTTTTAGTTCATTCAGTAATTTTCTCTTTTGTTGCAATTCATATTTCAGTATCTTTTCATGGGTATGTAATTGATGATGATGTCTGCGTAATCTACCGACAACGTGCCATGTTTTGCTTAATTCTGTGGTAACTAGGCACAAACGTCGCTCTTGTTCTTCTAAACGGGTTTCAAGATGTGAATTTAGTTGTTTCATGCGGTTGACTTCTTTGATAAGAGTAAGTTTTTCCACAATCAAATCCTGGAAAAATAATAATGAAGTACCATAAAAAACATATTAACTTAGATTTGTTGGTACGCACGCATGACTTTGTTGTTCTTTTTCTATGATCCTTTGTTCTTTTTTTCTTTCGACAAACTAAATTGGCTCAGGGCCAAAAAATGCTAGTGATGTGGTTTTAACGTGCAATTGAAAATACTCATGAAATTTTTATTTTTAAATGTGAGTCACAATTTATTAGCATACCGATTTGTATACGAACGGTTTCGAGATTTGAAACAAACTAAACAATGACTTACCTTTAATCTGATATAAGTCTGACTAACACTTGGCACTAGAACTGGCCCGGAATTGGTCTCTACTGATTTATAGCAAGTGGTAACTTTCTCTGAAGTGCAATTTTCTTCTACATTTTGATGGCTGAGCAGTTCCATTAGTACCCTCCAAACTTTAGGGAGTTTCTGAACTATTTCCTCAGGGGTAGTTGCAGACGTACAGTTTATCTTATCTGAAAATAAACAGGGGAATTTTTTACTACGTAAACACCAAATAATTAAAATAATCCTTAGGTTTTAAATATATATAATATTCATTCATATCTGAATAATATTTCTATGTAAGGAGTAAAAATCGAGCGAGCCTTACAGTAGTCGCGTATGACGTGTAACATTTGAAACCTCATCTTGTATAAGTAAAAAAAAAAAACCTACTACAAAAGTGACTTCCTGTTACACACTTCCGTCCCATTTCACGAAATAACTCCCGCAAATTGCAGGAAAGCCAGAGGAAAGATGTTACTCATCAAAAATATATAAAATTAAAGTATTCGTATAAATAAATGGTTATGGCGGCAATAAACATACCAAATACACATTACCTGAGTTTTGGATATCTTGATTTTGTTCCGATGATGTTTCACTTTTCTCTTCAGTGGACTCCTCCTTCTTTTCTTCTTCTCCCTCCTCTACTTGGTTTACAATTTCTAGAAGCAGCTTTGGCAAAGCCGTCGATGCTTCTGAGTCATTTTCCCGCTCAGCCATTTGTGTGAGAATACCGTGATTTTCTTCAAGACGATGAACTAATTTGTCTAAATCGTTTTTGGTCTTATAGCCTAGAAGCACTTCAGAAAATAGCTGCAATTAAAAGAAAACGTTTATTTTTTGAAAACCACTGATTGGAATTTTATTCAAACAAAATATATAAATGCATTTTCCTACCTTGTTAACGACAGTCATTTCGGCCTTTAAGCCTACTGATACGTCTTGACATGTGCTAATCTCACTATTTTTATTTTCAATGGTTTCAATCAGTGTATCAACTTTGCCTTCTAATTCATTTACTTTATCTGTTAATTTCTTTGACCTGTAATATTCATTAGATTTTTATTATATGTTTTTTCATTTATTTGATAATATGTATAAACAAAATACAGTAATTAATAATAAAAGTACCATAAAAACCCACATTGGGTTTGTCCTGATACTGAGTCACTTAAGCCGTCAATACATAGTTTGGTATTCGTAATTTATAATAATATACTTTGCCAGTTCTCGGTTGATTATAATTAATATAGCATGAGACATTAAGTATTCAGAAATACTCGAAAGCCAAAATAAATCATGGAATTACACTGTTACTTCTTATTTATATCTTATTAAGAATAATAAAGTATTTCAAAGATCTCATGACCTAATAAAAATAATAAAAGCTTACTTATTGACTTCAGCTTGATACAGAAGTTTTTGTTCTTCAAGTTCGCGTACTAAACTTTGCCTCGTAACTTCCGCTAGACGAGCTCTCTCCTCGTATAAACCACGAAGAGTCCGTATGTTTTGTAGTTGCCGCTCATATTCCTGTCTCAAGTCAGTAGATAACATACTGGCTTCTCTATCAGCAAGTGACTTTTCAATTTCATTCAATTTATTCTTTAACTAGAAAAGAAGAAATGAAAATTAATTAATGCATGCTTAACTGAAATGAAATGAAATGAAAGGTAACTTAACGTAATTATGTCATCACTATCATCAAACAGCCTACCAATGGCCTTCACTATGGAGGGAAAACATAGGTTGACCCATGATCCGCCACGCGAGTAGTATGGATTGGTGGGCGCTAATGACTGCATATTTTATTGGGACCAAGGGCTGAACGTGCCTTCAGGAGCTTGAGATCATCAGTTTTTGGTCACCAATGACCAACAATTGCGAAAATTACTTTACTTGCACGATCGCAGACCGAACGCGCTAGCCGTTTGCGCCATCGAGGTCCCCACTTGCGCAATCGAGCTCCTGATGTATGTATGTTTATTTTATTTTCAACTAATTTTTCAGCTCACAGGAACCTACTAACCTAACACTTTTTCAGGTCATAAACTGTATGTGTACCAAATTACATCCAAATCCGTACAGTGGTTTAGGCGTGGAAGTGTTACAAACAAACAAACCCACTTACGCATTTATAATATTAGTTAGGATTTAATGCTAAATGAGGCTTTGCGCAAGATAGCTAAATTCAGCGTCGCTGTTTTTTTTTTGCTTTTTTGCCTTTTTTAAGGGAAAAATGGTACAGAGCTATTTCGATTATAATACAGCCAAAACCGTATAAACCACTATCACAATGACATAATAAGTAACAGTAGTAAAAAGGCACGCGTACATTTAAAGCGTTGAGGAGAATCACGGCACAAAATGCTTGATTAGGTATGAAAAACAAATAAATTATTAAAAATATTTTATTAATTTGCTATCATTCTGTTTTGGTACATTGACAAGATTTAAAATCAATCTGCTTGTTTGCTTGAATGGGTACCACATTCAGACGCCTTCTAATCACATGTCATGTCACATGTCACATGTATTAGGTAATATTTGAAATGATTTTGATTCTCAAAATAAACAGAGAAAATTAAAGTTGTTAGAATTTTAGACCATGGGAAAAACTTATTGCTGTTTTTTTTATTCTAATTGAAAACTAAAAAAGAAAATATCCCATAAATGTTAATATGCATGTATTAATAATTTGGAAAAATGCCAAGATCAGGTGCCAATAAAATGACGTAGCTCAATACGTCTCGTGCGGTCCCTGACCGAAGAAGGCACATGTTTTTTGACGGTCGTTGTCTTCTTTATACATCCTAACCTAAGTACTTACTGGGCTGACTATAAAAAGAACTGAGACATCAATATACCTGGATGGGGATGTGTTTGCTATTTACCTCGTCAAGTTGTTGCTCTCGGAGGGCGATCATAGTTTTGCTGACGGATACAACTTCTTTTAATGCACTAATCTGTTTTAAAGCTTCTATGTTTTGGGCATTCAGATCTGCGATATCAGAATATGCATTCTGTAGTGTATTATTCGACTCTGCAAGATCTCTTCGCAATTTATTGTTATTTGTCTTCAATATTTCAAATTCCTCTCTCATTTGTGCTATAGTGCTGCTCAAGTCAGAATTTTCATAGGACGACTGAATTTCTGGAATTTCTATGTTATTCTTCATCAACAGTTCTCGCAATAACTTATTTGTCTCAAACAATTCTAATCGACATTTCCTCTCATCATTAAGAGCCTTTTCCAACTCTAGTTTTTCTGATTTGTGACGATCCAAAATTTGTCTCCTTTGTTCACGTTTAATGCTCAGCTGCTTTCTGAACTGAACCATTTCTTCTTCTCTAATTTGTGCGCGATTTTCGTCTTCATTGATAGCGTCCTGATATTCCTCTTCGACATTTTCATTTTCACTGGTACCACTTGTATTACTCATTGTTTCACTTTCACTCGTTACTGTGGAGTGCACTCTCGTCGAATCACTACTGAGTACGTTTCCCATTTTGGAATACTTTTATAAACAAGGCGCACTTTCATCCGCGCAAAATCGTATCGAGGATGCGTAATTTTAAATAGGTGACGGGCAATGTTTTAATAAGACAAAGAAATGTCGACTGTGGAACAGGAGCGTACCGCAACTCCGTAAGCCAGACGATTCCCGAAATAGCCCCTTCGTCAGTTATGAAGCGTGCGCCAGAGCGAGTATGTTCAATATCGCTATCGCTACAGAAGCTACTATTCGCCGAACGACTGTCAATATTTTATTTTTATTTAAGCTATTTCAGATGAAACCATTATGAAACCTGTGTTTTGTTAGACTTCCGAGAAATGTTATTCGGATATTAAAAGTGGAAATGCACATTTTGTCCAATTTAATTTCTTATTCGTGTGATGGGTGTATGTGGATCTACCATGAGTTTATTATTCATCCTAATACGTATATTTTTAAACTAACATACATACAATACATACATTAATGAGAGAGAATACATACAATAACCACAATGCGATGCCTAATTGTGTTGATTAGCGAACACTCTTATCGGCACATACGCCCGATATTTAAAAATCACCCAGAGTTTTTAATTGCTGCGCCCATCAGGCATCTATCCATACGACAAGTGGCTAATAAGGAAAGGATGGAAAGGATCTGCCCTATCGCCATACCATTTGTCTTCAAACTCTTACTGGTTGACTGGTAGAGAATGCTTATGGCAATGCGTCTGCTGTTTGCTTACATATGAAAATAAAGTTTAAATTAATTAAAAATAAAAGAGAGGAACAGCACTGCGGATTTTCCGCTGAAATCGTACCGCTCGCCTGCGGATATAATAAGACTCTACATTACATACATTGCAGCTAAATGATAAAAAATAGTAAAAAATTTTGTGGACTTGTGTTCCTGTTAGTGTCTAAAATCAAAGGTTGCCGGAGCTCCACGAGGTAGAAGGTTAAGCAGGCATCAGCTATGACCGCAGTGCAACAGGGATCAAAGGTATAACGTGCCTCTTGAACCACAGAGGAAGTCGAACTAATATTTTTTGGTCATTTATCCTAACGATCGACCGTTGCGTAAGTTGCTTTATGGTATCACAAGTATGTTTATATTAGATGAGGTGAAATGCTCCATGATGTGTCGTAGCAGATAATGATGATGATGAGTAAGCTTCTTCTTTGCTAGATTTTATGCGGTACCTGCGGTAAGTTAAATTTACGGCGTTTAAATTACCGTTTATTAAAAAAAATACTAGAAATAATCCACGCAGTCCAGGCAGCGGACGGGACTCGAACCCGTACTCTCCGCTATTCGGGCGGATGCACTGACCAATAAAGCTACCGCAACCTGATTGACCGTGTCCAATTTATTCTCGTATTCATTAGGCAGCACTTGGAATTTATTCTAGTAAAAAAATCTTGAGATAAACATTTAGCAGTTAAATGCTTATTATAAAAATATAACTACACTAGCTGACTCGGCGAACTTCGTACCGCCCAAAAGTAATAATTTGCAATAAATTAAAATTGCGACTATAATTTGAGATTTAAACTATCCTATCTCTCAAGTTGGATCCAACTGCACATGGTGTGCGAATTTTATTATAATCGGTTAAGTGGTTTAGGAGTTCATTGAGGACAAACATTGTGACACGAGATTTATATATATTAAGATAATAAATTACCTACAATTTTACAAATTTGGCCCAATATTCCCCGGAGGGTATTACTTTCCTCTGAATGTTTTCGAATCAATTTCCACATAAAACTGCGAAACTCAAAATGAAAACGCAACAAAAGCTCTATTCTATTTTTAAATGTACCCGCCCTTTTAGTATTTCTTTTTTTCTACTTTTAAGGGAAGGAATAGATATAGAGTCCATCAAGCCTTATCGTTAATATTTTAATTTTTTCCTTTTTTTTACATTGCAATGCCTGTATGATGCAGTGGAATATTTCTGTGACTTCTAGTAGTGTTGTCTTTTTTGAGGTAGACGGCACTACAATATCACTATAATTTTCACGATCCTTTTACCGAAATCACATATATTTAAATAATTCAGTTACGTTGTAACAAAAAATCACCTCACTTTATATCTTATAAATAGACAAGAGTCAAACATTTGGCTTCTGTAATCGGTAACAATCCTATAAAAGTATATCTATAGTGTTACAGTGCTTACTTTGGGGCTAGGCTAGTTGATGTGGGTATTGGAAATACTTTTATTTATTGTGACCTCAAAATTTCAGTTACAAAGAGTTTTAACGTTTGTAGTCCCAAAAATGTTGAATACCTATCGGAAATAATCGTTATTTTTTTACCTATTAAATCAAAAATTGTAGTCACTTTTGTAGTGTGTCAAAACGGACATCATAGCGTGCCGCGACTATAGTCTTAAGCTCTGTGCATATTAACGTGTCGTAGCGCGCCAGAGGCACTCATACATTTACTATGGTTAGAAACATATTTACGTGACGTGTCATGTCGACGCTCTAACATCTCTCTTTGTCTTTAACCTATAATAAATGTATGAAACCGGCGCGCCACGAGTCCACGACAAGATAATATGTACAGGGCTTTAGTTTAAAAGCCATTTGCGCTTTTGTTATACACCATACAAGGCACAATCATGGCTTATGAATAAAGGTACAATTCCGCAATGGGCTGCAGGTCACAACCGCGACACTGCGGCTGCGGCTTGTAGCTGACCGTGTATTATATGCATTGTGCAGCCGCAGCATGTCACCGCGCTCGGAATCAATTTCATAGAGATTCATAGAAACTAGTAGAGTCGCCTGCAGTCTGCAGCTGCGGCCTGTGGCCTACGGTTCAGTTCGGACTTGTACCTTAAAAAAAACATGAACATATTAAGTTTTGTGAGAAAATCATGCATGTCAAAATTAGGCTATTTAAACTTCTTTATTTTTTTAAACAGAGCCAAAGCCTAGTCTGTATGAACAAGAATACTTTGCTCTTGCCCTCGAAGATGAATTTAAAAAGTTGTTAAAGCAATTTCTGCCACGGATTTTACGAATTTTCCGAGGAAAATTCTCTCAATTTATAGAATCGGAACTATCTATTAAAAATACCCACTGAAATTGATTTGTTCTTCGTATAGCAATTTTGATAATCATACGTGACTGAATCTCATTGGCAGATGATTCTAAGTTTAGACATATCACTTTGTGAGTGTAATTGATTTTTTATTTTATTTGTTTTCCGTGGCTTATTGGTAAAATAGCTAACAAAACCACTTTCTCGTGACGTCTCTAAATGTTCTCAGCAAATTGGATGTGCCATAATGTGAAACGTGAATTAGAATAATAAAAAAGTTATGGATGAGAGCACTAAGAACTCCCCTTGTAAGGTAATATTTTTTGTTTTGATTATTATTATTGGTAAGATATGAAGCAAGTAAAGCTTAGTTGTTGGATAACGTCATCTTGTCCTATTATTTCTTGTAATTACTCATCATTTATATCCACAATGTGATTAACACATCTTGTTGTTTGTATCTGGTGAAAGAGACAGTCTCCTTCTGAAATTAAATCTACCTTTAATTGTTTTTAAAAAGAATTACCTTAAAGTTATAAATACTTTGTGTCCATATTGGATGGTATTAATTCCACATGGCTCCACCTTCATGTAATCAACAAAATAATTTGTGATGATGCTCTCTCTTAGCACTTACTATTATTATTTGCTTTAGTTGAAATAATTTCTAGTGATTACCTATTGACAAAGAAATTTTCAATTGCTCCGATTGTTTTTAACTTATGGATTTAATTCAAAATAACAAAATATGTAAAAGTAGCTATTATTAAAAGTAATGATAGTCATTCTTTATAATGACATTAGCTTTTATCAATGAAAAAGTACTTAAAAAAATACATTAGTTATAAGTAATAAGTGCACTAAGCTTATCTTTATTTTATTTGCTGTTTTTGTTAATAAATGTTTTCTCGGTTGTCTAATTTTATGAAGGTTTGGCCCAGGCAGGGCTAATGTTCTAACTTTTACTTCTGCAATTTTTTTCATATTTAAACCAAGTGTAAATGTGCATAAGCTTTTCTATTTCCTAAATGTTAAATTAAATCACTACACAATTAAGAGTTTGACAAATACCTAGTCCCCAGTATATTCAGAGTTTCCTTTTTTTAGAGTTACTGTAGAGAAACCTATTATTTTATTCAAAATTCTATTAATGTTGAGTGTTGTAAATGTTACATGAACAATGTAGTATAGTTAGTTCATTCATAATGATTGAAGATGTTGAGATAAATTGTTATTAAAAAAAGTAAGCATATCGAACAAAATTTCCATTTACAAATTAAGCAGCATACCTAAATTTTGTACTAGAATATATTGAAGTTATACTTCTTTAGGCGCGTTATGAAAACTGATGAGAGTGAAATTTTAAGATGCGCGCGCATCACTGTAACACAAAATTTTAACAGCATGAAGTTGGTCGCTTTAGCGATCAACTTCATGCGTTACTTTTGTGTTTACCGCACATTAAGAAAATCTACCAACAAAATAGAAATAGAATCTCTATTTAGTGGGTGCTAACGACTGCATTGTGAAGGCCTATCAAAAGTATTTATTAATCTGGAACAACGGAACCAAAGCGCGATTCAGGAGACTACAGTGCCATCTCTTGACCATTGGTGTAGTAGAACCAAAAACCACATCTTTATTATTTGTAATAAAGTAACAGTTATAGGTATTCATATTTATAATATCAAAAGTATTTATTAATCTGGAACAACGGAACCAAAGCGCGATTCAGGAGACTACAGCGCCATCTCTTGACCATTGGTGTAGTAGAACCAAAAACCGCATCTTTATTTTTTGTAATAAAGTAACAGTTATAGGTATTTATATTTATAATATTTATCCACATGTTTCTAGTTTATATATTCGGAATACGTGTTTGAGTTACATACAAGTGCAAATCACATATGTTCTAATAAATTATATTCAGTAACGATTTTAATTGAATGTTTTGATTATTTATTTATTTTTTCAAATTAAAACTGAACTTTATTGACTGTGTCCTTTTCCAGACTTTTTATTAATTTATTGTAATTAATTATTTGCATGCAATTAAAAACTAATTTTAAATGATGCCAAAGAAGGATAACTTCTCACGCGCCTACATAAGTACACGCACCCATTTTTTTTCAATACATTTTAACTCTTCTCAATAAATGGAAAATAATATTCCGCTAATAATGGCATCTTTACACCGATTATCTGATTGATCTTGAGCTAATAAATGGTGGTGAGCTACATGATATTTTTTTTAATTCTGAAACCGACCATTGCGAAAGTTGTTTCATGATTCCACAATTGCAGACCAATACGCTCATTGCAGCACCATTGAGCTCATGATAGCTATTTACACAGTTGAATTTAACTATGTGGCTTGAAAAAATCAACTTCTATGTTAATGTGTCGTGCAGTATTTTGTTCAAACCACAGAATATTTTTATTATATTTGCACTTGTATGTAATCAAATAAAAAGCTACAGTACATATTAAAACCAGTCTAGCTTGAGTCATAAAGTAGGTAAAATTTAGAAATAACTTTCCACAATATGGGGAATTGAGAAAGAACATCTTTTTAAAGAAAACAATGAGTAATCATTTGGTTTGATTTTTTGAAGAAAGAATAATAGTTACCAAAAATATTAACAGTTAATAAGATTCTAGACATGCTACATGATACAAGGGTGTACTTTTTTTTCTGGATTGATTAAGAAAATCTACTATAGCTAAATAGTATAGCCATACTTAGTTAGTTGGTAGTTTAACATAGGTTTATAAAGAAATCGTCTCACAAAGTTTGCTATAATATTTTGGAAACAATAACATTTGATTTTAGAAATTATGGATTTTTCAAAGTTGGATTTTTTGTACAAAAAATATTAATTCATTATAACTAATGGTAGTTTTTTTAACTATAATTGCTATTTCAACTTTCAAATATTCAATACTTGTAAAAGTATTAATTTGACATTGTGGGTTACCTACAATGTGAAGAGATGGCGCTGCCTTGCAGCTTAAGAATGGCTAGAAGAATTTCGACGCGGCCATCAGCGCCGCGGTAACATAATTGGTCAGTGCATTCGCCTGGATAGCGAAGGGTGCGGGTTCAAGTCCCTTCTGCTGCCTGGTCCGCGTGGATTTTATTTATATTTTCTTTAGATTTAAACATCAAGCAGTTACATGCTTAAAAAATAAAAATATTAAAAAAATATGAGTTTAATCGGCCGATTCATCTCGGAGATATGCAAGAACAACAATAAAAAAATATGTCGACAGTGGAAAAGCAAAATCGCTTATGCTCCACTTTAGAACTTTACAGAAATGAGGATCAAAATTTTTTTTCCCATAAAAAACATAACTCATTGTCAATGAGAAGTAGCGCCATAAAAATAAGAACATATTCATAAAATAATATTTTCTAAATACCCTCGTATTAAAAAGTTACATAGTGCCTTTACTATAAAAACTCGTATTAGATGTCGTTTAAGCGAAAATCACTCAATCTTCATTAAATATAAACAGATCCACGTGGAAAACAAAATCTGATTCAAATGATACCTGTATAAATACGCTCATTTTCGTCCAAAGTGGCGTATTAGCGATTTACACTGTCGAAATATACTGACGAATTGAGAACCTGAACGCCGAGTGGCTAGAATCTTCGACGACCAGAACTTTTCCGATCAGCTAGATCCTTTGGATTTGTGTATGGATGTAGCTTTGCTTTCCAACCCCTAGTCTAGCGCATGTCTCATGGGAGTGTTTTGAGGAATTGTTCGGATTAATTCCAGCTCCTGCTATTTACCATCGTTCATTGCAACAAAATTTTAATCCCCATTATCTTGATGCGTGGCTGTACACAACCTTGCGATTTTGACGATTTTTTTTACTTTGTACGACAAAAGTGTGGATTTCATTGTCGCATACGACCCGAAAACCTTAAAAAAGAAGAACGTACTCTTTCCTTAAAAGCCGGCATCGCATTTGTGATACTCCTGGTGTTGCAGATGTCTATGGGCGACGGTGATTATTTATCATCAGGTGAGCTTTCTGCCCATTATATAAAAAAACTCCTTTTTGTAGTCTGTTATAAATAGTAGCAATCAAGCAGTTGGGTAGCTAGTGTACAATTTCCACATTTCACATTTTCGAAACAAACATCGGTTGTTTCGGCTCATCAGAAAAGACCCATTCAATGATTGCTGCTTTGGCATTGCGATCGTAGCTACAATTTCATGTTTAATCATGGGATTATGACCTTATCGTGGTTATATTTTTAAAGCTTTTAAAGAAATGTTTACTAGAAAAAAAAACCACGCGGACCAGGCCTTTTTTCAAATCCAGGGGCACGGCCTTACGCGTGACGCCATTTTTTGAATCTCAGTCGAATTGTGAGGGATCCAATAAGCCACTTGGTTCATAGTTTTTTACACCCCAATGTTTTTGAAGGCTTGATTGTACACTGATGCCTATGTCCATGGATGTCCGAATTTCACGATTAGTCATGTGCCTGTATGTTTCGCTCATACGAAATTTGACAGCACCACTGCATTAGAATTCTGTAAACCAACTATAAACTGTCGAATAGGATGGTGATTCTTTACCAAAAGCAGTTTGAAGGCTGAAGGAAATCCATAAGGCCGCTATAATACATTTAAAATCGTAGTAAATCATATTATAATAATTTGATTTGAGTATATAAAATGTCAATAAAATGTAAATAATCAAATTATTAATGTCTACTGCTGGGGCGCAGCACGTCTTCCCTAAGGATGGAATAGGGAGAAAGGAACATAACATACTTTGCGTACCCTGTGCTGATTGGTGGGTGGGTGATCACGATAGCACCGATTAAGCGATGTTTATTTAATTCAAATAGAGATCAGTCATAAAAAAAGGCCAGGGGCTTTTGTAATGACGAAAACCCCGCGATATGATAAAAAAGTTGAATTAGGTTAGAACTGTGAACAAATAAAGGCAGACAGCGCCCGACTGAATTAAATTTCTGCTTATTTTCAAAAAGAGAAATGTGTCTCAAAATTTCAATCGTAGCGTGAATATCTCGAAAACTATTCAATGCAGAGATGCATTGAAATGCGCAGGATGTGTGGAGACACGTACAGCCTCCCAACCTCCCCATTCGGGTAACTTATTTCTAAACTTTTAATGTTTCTCACTCCTGCTATACCTACCTAAGGTGCTAGTAATTTTATATTCAAAAATGTCAATGTAAATCTTATCCTTTTAATGGCTATAAGGTTTATATATGCACTGTTTGTAGTTCAGCTTCACAGTAAATTACTATAACAATTCGAGCTTCTGTCTCTGTGGGTGAAAAAACATGCATACAGGATCCTATTACTATGAAAACTATTTCAATCGAAATTTGAGTTACAAGTCTACTGTCTGTGTTCCTCGCTCACATTAACAGAAACTCATTAAAACCTCAAACTCATTAAAACCTCATTAAAAATTACAAATTGCACTGTGGTGGCGCAGCGTAATGTCTAGTCAAGTCACATATTCATAACGGACCGTTAATCATCATCATCAACATCAACCTATTAATGTCCCCACTGCTGGGGCACAGGTCTTTCCTATGGATGGAATAGGGAGATTGGGCCATGACCCACCACGCGGGCCCAGTACGCATTGGTGGGCGCTAACGACTGCAGATGCAGCCGGGACCAACGGCTAAACGTGCCTTCCGAAGCACGCGAGATAGAAGATTTTTGGTCACCCATCCAATGACCGACCACTGCGAAAGTTCCTTAACTTCAACGATCGCAGCCGAACGCGCTTACCACCTGCGCCATTGATTGATTGATTGATATCAGGATATAATGAGGAAAAAATAGCCTCACTAGATCATAGATCTGACCAATTGATATTCTGAAAAATAAAAAAACACGTAAGGTCCGATACTTGCGATATAAATGCGATACTTGTTAAGCCTTGGTGCAATATGTAATAAGCTCTTATAACAACCATAGAGAATGAAGCGCACGCAGAAGCAATTTACACATAAATTCGCGCAAGTTTGTTTTCCTATAGTTTTATTCAAGATTTTTGTCGCTAAGTATATGTACCACTGGCTTGTTTATTTTCATTATAATGCACGATTGTTAGGCTTGCGATGAGGGTGCAGACGGGGTGCAGTTGCATGCGGAGGTGGACCACCTACGGCAGCACCTCTCGGAGAGAGATGCGCACATTGTAGCCCTTGAAGGGGAGTTTCTCAAATGCACTGCTAGAGCTAATGATTTAGAAGAGCAGCTAAGTACCTGGAGAGAAAAATACGAAAGGTAAATCAGATATAAGAAATTACTTCAAAATCTAAAAAACGATAACAAATTTTAATAAGCCATCTCTTTGTTTTAGATTGTATGACTCCCATAAAAGGGTTCAAAAGTTGAATCAAATTCTAGAAGATAAATTATTGCAAATGGTTGACAAAATGAAGGGTGAAAAAAGTCAATTGACAAAGGACATTGCAACACTTTCTGTTAGATTGGCTGAATCCAAACACAATTACAGCATGCTACAGAAAGAAAATGTAAGTATTCAATCTTGGTTGATATTTTTCTTTTCAAATCTAACGCTGCTTTTTATAAATTTATTTTTCTAAAATACTCACGTAATTAATTGGTGTTATATTTACTTTGCAGGAAAGATATAAAAATGATATGAATCTGGCTATTCAATTATTGCAATGCAAACCAGATAACTTTGTTTCACAGAAATTAGACAATGTAAGTAAAACACGTTGATTCAAATGCAATACCCTTTTTTGAAAAATATTTAATCAAATCGTTTTCTTTACAGCTTCCAGTTGACACTCAAGCGAGAGTATCACAATATGTTATGTCAAAAACATCAAAACCAAGCAGTTCTGCACAGTCTAAATGTGGAAATGAAAATGATACTTTTGATGCGAGTGAGTATGAATTCAACATTTCTGCCTCCCTCATGTCTAAAATTCTTGAAGATAGCATCCAGGACACTGTGACCAAACACTGTGATACATGTACATGTTCAAAATCACAGAACAAACCGTTTTGTTACAATGAAAGTTACTATTCTGTAGCAACTCAAACACTATTAAGTAGTGAAACTAAAAGTTCTATCTGCTTAAATTGCAAATCGGAAATTAAGTCTGTACCTTCTAATTTGAGTGTTAGAAGTTCTTCTCCTCATAACATCAATATGGCTGATGATGAAAAGCCACTAAACTGTGGTCTAACAGGTCCTATGTATATTTTACCACAGCCTGTTATTGAGCCATACAAACAAAGTACTGAGATACCACAAATGTCTCAAGCAAGTAATGCTTTGCCTGATAAAATAACAAATAACAATACCCCGAAAAATGTTATTTTGAAAAGCAATATAGAACAAACTTTACCCAAAGACAACTTAGAAAAAGAAGATAAGGCAAAGAATAATGGAAATATGGAGCCATCTGTACATCATAAGCTTTGCGATCGTACTAAGACTTCGATTTCCAGCAAACGAAGTAGTGTACATAGTAATGGTAATGATGATTTGATGATAAAAGAACAATTGGAAAATAGTAAAGAAACTAAAAACAAATATGACATACAAATTGCCGATGTTACAAAGCCTAGGAAAAATTCCCAAAGTTCAATGAGTGTAATGAGTAGAACCTCCTCCGTTGCAAAATCAACAGTAAGCACGCATAAATCTAACACCCAAGTCGGACCTGGTCCAAGATTTTGTCACTTACGTATGCAAGCTGGTTCTAAGAACATTTTGTTAGATAATGCTGAACCAGATGTACCACCTGTTTTATACAGACGCCAGAGCAAATGTAATGATACATTATTCAAAGATCTGCAAGATGATATTGATAATATTATAGAATTAGATAAAAACGAAGTTCATGAAAAAAATGATGTTAACAATGACAATGTTGTAATTGAAACCACATTAATTGATGTACACGTTGATAATAACACTAAAGAATCCAATCCATCTGTTAAAACATCTTCAATCAATCCTGTTTTATTAAATGTTTCTTCTTCGCCATTGCAGCCTCTTAAGACTCATAATTTTTCACACAATTCTGAAAACAATAATAATACTTCACAGAGCTTAGGAAGTCAACAAAATACATCAGAAATTGATAATTTGTTGAATGATTTCAACTCAGATGCAATTAATAAACAAAACAATAACAATCGCGAAATAGCGGATACTGTAAATCAAAACGATTTTACTCCTACTGATAATTACGATATGAAAATATTTAATTTTGATCGATATGAACAAACTAAATTACAAAATCAATATAATAGGTCATTGAAAAAAAATGATATGTCTCAACTTCATTCTATTCAAAAAACTAGGATCTCCAAAGATTTTCCTCCACTTGGTGATTGTGTAAAAGTACAAAAGAGATCAAGCACTGCACATAAATCATCATTGCCTGCTGTCGTTAATGTTTATCCAAACTTGACGCAAACCCATTTAAAAGTAAATGAGAGTAAAAATGTTTTTACTAATGAGCAAAGTACAAGCTCTCTCTCGAGTGACGATAGTGCAGCTTTATTACAGAAACAGCAGCTATTGAGAGTAGCTGAATGGGTTGAAAAAAATTTAGAACAACAGAATAATTTTAACGATCCTTTAGATGACGATGTCAGTTTCAGTAACAGAATGGCACGAAGAGATAGCAAATTAACTAGACTAACAGAAACTTTGAATGAAATTGCATTAAATATGCCACATCCAGTTAGTAAGTTTGCTAAACAATATTCCAAAGATAGCAACAACGCGTGGGTTCATAACAATATTTCATCACTATTGGCTCAAGATAAGGGGACCCGAAACGTTGTACTATCTCATAAAGTGGCAAATAATGTGGCTAAAGAAACTATGTTCCCTGTTGATAGTGGCGACGCCACTATAACAGAGGTAACCAAAGAAGCCGACAGAAATACTCATAATACCAATCAAGAGGAAAGTGATATTAGTAAAGCATTACACGCTGGAATTAAAACAAACGGTGATAAAGAAATTACACCTGAAGATTTAGCAAGAATGGAATATAATGTAAAAAAGTTTTTATTAAGCGGGCCTCATTGGGTCAATCCAGGATCTGTTGGGAGGAGTCGTCGCACAAGCAGCAAGACCGAGACTGATGTATAATTTTGAAAAATAGACTGGTCTACATTCCAAGAGTTGCATATTTAGTAAAATAGGTATTTGTTTACTTGCTTCTTTGAAGCTTTTTATGTAGTATTGCTCAATGAAATACTTGGAATCGAGTTTGACTTTAATAGATTTTGAGTCTCTGATGTTTGTCGAGCTAATTGCTAGATTTTAGACATGTTATATAATTTTATTATTAACAAGGAAATTTTGTTGAGTCACTCATTTGATTGTACTGTGGATGTATATTGTGTATGAACTTTATTGTCGAAAACTGTTACAGTAAGACGTTTTATAATCAATTATGTGTATCATCTAAACTTTACCAAAATTTAATAAATTAGATTTAATTTTTGCAAATCTTTAAAACTGATTATGTTATAGATATGAGAAATTCTCAAATCAAGGCTGCTCTTAGCTAGACGTTATAGAGTATAGAGATAAATTTATCATAGACTAAATAATTTGCGGCATAGAACTAATTGGTACTGAATCTGACAAATTAGTTACCCATAAAAGAGAGTTAAAAAATTCAGAATATTTGACTATGAGACTAGTCTATGCATGCATATATTAGTTATCCTGTTTTAAAAATTTAGTAATATGAAATAGGCAAAGTATAAATGTTTTCAATATGTGATAAAAGCGAAAAATAATTGAAATGATGTCAGTAAATTCATGTACAAATATCTATACCCGTTGCAGGGTTATTTGCTAAAGCCATGCCCACTCCTATAATGTGTATTTCCTTATGTCATTTCGTGTAGTCGATGTTATAGTAATTCTGGGAGGACATTCGAATACTGCTGTTTTCTATGTGACTAGTGTAATAGAGTAATACGATTTAATGCCGTTGTCATTAACATACCTTGTATAAAAGTAAAGGCAAATCAGTCAGAATTAATAAATAAATTCCTATTTGAACCAAGGCGCGTTCAGTTGAATGTTTCTATGAACGAGCAAAGCGCGGGCTTTTCCAAAGAAAGCGAAATAGCCCAACATTAAAAATGGGTACTGTGTTTTGCTTTATTGTAAGAATTTAATAAAACTGGTTTATGTAGATTGTTTGAACAAGGTGACCTTTGTTAGCTACAGTTGTTTGAATTTGCCGAAATTCAAATTTGTACGATTCCCCGTCCTATTTGCACACTGACACCAATATTTTGTCGGGTTGATCGATGATCTAAAAATAGCCTGAGATTTCGAGTTACGGTTTCATTTCGAAGTCAATTCGGTGTCAGTCAGATAAGCTGTAATTACACAAAGATGTGCTAATAAGAACGGCTTTCAAAATAGAAATTAAGTTCATTTTGAATACTTATATGTGATTTAAAGGAGGCTTCATTTTTATGGTTCATAACCCTACCTTTTATATTTATAATTTGGGTTGCATGTATGTTAGGCCTGTAACCCTATTTCAAGGTCTAACAGAGAGCAATAGCTGTTACAAAAATAAATGTATAATATGTAGCTGCAGCCTGTACTTTTAGGAAGTATAATTCGCGATGATAAAGAAACGAAACGAAAATTACGACGCAATCAGGCCTTCCCTTTTGCTTAACCTGTCAGGAATAACTAGGTACCGTCATTTTCGATTTCCTTCTTTATTGATGCTAGTATACTATAATGTATAAAAAGGGTTCAATCAAACATATGCCGTCGCAATACGATTTTATAAATCTATAACATTTAATAATTGTATCTACATATACATAACGATAACACTAATGCCTCTGCTTGCAATGTACAACTAAAACAAAAAAAATATCAGATCGGTGTCTTCTGTGTATATTTTCATATTAATATAATTAATTGTATAAATTATATTTTTTAAATTAGTGGGCGAGATATAATAACGTGTAACGTAGCTAGAATAAAATAATGGCGGGTTAATATCAAATCTTGCAAGTTATGCGTATAAATCAGTGTGACACAAGATGCCTATCTTGGACCTTCCTGCGATTGTATCACTGCCATGGTTTGTATCGCTAATCATTCTGAAAATTTGGATAAAATACCCTAACTGCAAATGCAATGTCAGGTCCGTTTCCAACAAACTATTTGTCTAAAATATTCAAGAAAATTTTCAATAATTATGTTCATCATTATTAAAAAATGTTGAGTTTTTATGTATCATTGGAGACGTCCAGTTGGTAGCATTCCAAAACTATGAAAGATTTTGTTTATTTACTATGCCTGCAAGCGCAATGCAAATATTTTTTGAAAAAATTCTTAATTACTAACAAACATAATTGCTAGCAGCATCTATTTTTGTGAAACATTAGTTGTTAAACTACTTTAGTATTGATTGCTGAAAGATCAAACTTCATATTATAAACGACAATGTCCTGTGGGAACTCAAGGTTTCGCTCCAATCAATTCTTTCATATAGTAATAATTAGAACTTGCAATATTTGATGTAACTTCCCTTAATGTTAGATTTTAGCTTTGATCCCCCCGCCAATACTGTGTGTTGTACTGTTTATAGAGTAGGATTCCAAGCACAAGTTTCTATCTTTGATGTTAGCCATCGGTTAGTGTTAAATTATCAGCTATCGCAGCATTGCAAGTATTGTATATGAATTGAAAACCTTTTATGTTAGTGTCTGCAAATTGATTTTAGTGGTGATTATTTCGTTTCTGTGATTGCTTTAAAAACTATATAATACCTATATGAATGTATAAATTTTTAGTATTTAAAATTTCAGTTCACTCAAAATGTCGTCGGCTAGAAGTTCAATCAGCTATTATATTATATCAATATTGTTATTTTGAATTGAATTCCGTACAATTCTTAGACTTATTTGGTTGGTAGGTACTGTAACGTCCGTTACGTTACAGCCTCCTTGTTTAGGTAAACTCTTTGTTCATGCAATGCCTACGGCTGTCAGTTATATTAAACTGACGAAAGAAATCGGTTACATCACCTTTTCCGTCGAATGTTGTCCTGGTCTCCATTTTCAATTATACTTTTTCTTTCTTGATTTAAAAATTTTTTTATTCGCGGTACTTGAATCTACGCGGCGCGTCCACCATGCGGAGTTCTAGCCAGAGTGGATAGAACCTAAGGACGTAGCTACTAATTAAAAGATACTGGATTTTATATTGACTTTATTGATTTCAGGCGAATACAAGTTTTTATATCTAAGCTACGAAAGGGTTGGTGCCTGAAGTCCATCTGCTGTATGGGACCTTCTATCAAAAGACATTAATTTTTTAATATAACTGCCAGCCGTAGCCATTCCATGAACAAAGAGTTTACCTAAACAAGGAGGCTGTAACGTAACGGACGTTACAGTACCTACTACATCAGAACTCGAACAGGTTCAGTTATAATTAAAGCAATAAAATATGTCAATGAATAAGTAAGTGTATCACCTAAGTAGCTACTTATTTTATTAAAGATGTAAGATCTTTAGATCAGGTTACCTAAATCCGCCAGTTTCCCTCAACCCTACATCTAACAGGGTTTAAAATAAATTTACCTTGTTGGTTGTATCCATTGACAGATTTTACTCAAACACAGCAAAACCAAGTCAGCAAGCAAGAAATGCTTGTTCTTCGAATGGTTACACAATTTATACACTCACTTTGATGATACGACTACGGAGCCTCAGTACGCCTTTGATGAAATCTCTATAATGTATTTTTGTTAAATTAATTCAATTACATCGTATATGGGACGTTCTTCTTTTTTATGGCCAATCTGACAGGCAAATTTTTATATTTGTTAAAAAAGTAAACATGTGATTTCTTTAGTAAAATGTATTTTAAATTATTGCCTCGTTATTGTAGATTTCAAACATATATAATGCATCGAAGTATTACTTGTAATTTTTGTTTAACTTCTAATTTTGTAGGAATGGTAACAAAAAATCAACACCTCAGTCACGAAAATGTTTATTTTTTTTATTTTTCATGCAAAATCAGATCTTTAGTTTCTTATATCTTTCTTATCAAGAATACAAACATTTCTTTTTAGCTAGCTCCATGGGACGGAATTCTTAATAAAAACATTAAAAAAATGATATCCAATACCACTCTGTCACAGTTTTGCTTTTTAAGACAAAAAACTTTTTAATATTATGAAAGTCTTTCAATAAAGTAACTTGAAAATATGGTGAACAACTTTAACTAACTAACTTTTTTTTAGCATGTAATACTAGAAAACGCTATTTTTGTAAATATTACCAATAAACTGGAGCATACACTACTTTGAACTTAAATTATAAGGGGGACAAAATTGTGATAGAGTGGTTAACGAAGTGACTGAGTGGTAAATATTCATTACCCGCCGAGCAAAGTTAACCTTAAAACAGTTTTAAAGTTTAGAAAACAATAAATAGTATATTTTCTGTTTTCTTTTTCGTCGTGTTCACTTTGTGTGTGTGTTTCCTTTCTACTATGGGTTGTATTGTGTACTTTATCTTCATTTTTTTTCTCTCGCTGAAGTCTTTTCTTGTATTTCTGTACTTTTCTTAGTAATCCTTGTATTTGGTCTTGAAGTTGAATATTTTTTCTATAAAGTTGTGATCTATCCCGTCTAACTTGTTTTCTTCCTCTTGCACTGGCAGTAAACGAGGCTGGAGTAAGTGAACGAAATCTAGGAACTTAATGGTCTGGGACTTGAAAGAGGTGGTGTAGAAGCCGGAATGTTCATCAAAACGTTCTGCAAAGCTTTCTGTCGTTCTCTTCTCTTCCTATTTCTAATCTGCCATTGTCTCTTTATTTTTTTGTGTTGTTTTGGTGTCATATCTTTAACTATTTTGTTACGAGCATGATATCTTTCTAAATCTTTACGTTCACTTCTGCAACGATTTCAGGGTTAAGTTTCCTTTTTTCACGACACCGTCGCTGTCTTTCAGCCGCCGATAATGGCATTCCATACAAAAACGACTACTCCGTCACAAGTTTACCACTCCGTCACATTTTTGTGACAGAGGTGCTTCGTGACAGAGGTGTAAAATAGTAGTGTTCGAGATTCTCAGCATTGGTCTAATTCTAATTAATGCATAAAAGTTTGCATATATGAAATAGATATCAGGAATCAATAAAAAAATATTAACACACAGGAATTAAAATAATATTTGGAAGTAGTAACTTACGTGACAGAGTGGTCGCTAAATAAACACACGCAACCTTCTTTTACTGTTTGCGAGCGACTGACTGGTATTACCGGGGGGTAGGGACGCATAGCGTGGGAGCGGAGTGGAGGGGGACTATGCTC